TATCACAATTAAAAAAGATTTCTCATTCCATTCTGGATGTCAATATTTGACTTATATCTGCATCGTTGTTCTTGGACTTTTTTTTTTCTTCTTTCTTCTGTCCTCTATTATAACGAGCATTATTAAAAGAAAAAATTTAGTCAAGTATGAGACAATCTTCCATGTATATGGTAGTAGATAATTGGAAGAAGAGAATACAATTAGAAAGTTAGAAAAACATAAAATGACAGCGGAAAGTCATGTGAATCAATATTGACTATAATGTATAGCTGACGTGTTTGTAATTTTATCTTAGAATTTTCATTACATATATGAATCTAAAATATTAAAACAAATAAAACTACAAGACAAAAAAAATGATAGTTTGCTACTTTTTTTGATTATCATTTCTTCTTAGAAGAATACGAAAACAAATAACTGATATAGTAAAGAATTTGTACGTAGAGAATAGAGAATCGCTTATTTTGTTTTTTATTTTCTTGCAAATTTTTTTTTCAAATGTAATTAACAATGGAATATCAAGAAGATTGACTATATTCGAGTCAAACATCACTTTCACCGCCAAAATATTACATGTCCATAGCAATCCTAGATCGAGATATTCGATTTTTAAATTAATCAGTTTTCGTATGTGAATATAATATTATGAAAACTATTTACATCCAATACTTTACACAATCATCTGGTTTTCGAGATAGGAACTTTTTAGAGTCTTGTTGAGACTTTGTTGCTGACACTGAGCTCACAATAGATTTAGCTTCTTCTGGAAGTTTACCGATGCTAAACAGGGAAAAGATGCAATAATCAAAGAAAGATTAGAAAAACTCAGAACATTTACTTTAAATTTTATGATCATTTCTGTCCAACTAACAGCTGTGAGAAACAAACCCTCTTAATATATGCTTGATACAAAAATAAAAGCTTTTACTGTTATCATTTGATTACAGATCTTCATTTATCGTAAATTTATTGTTTTCATATGAAATAATGTTGCAAGCACTGATAATCTACGAATTTTATATAAAACTGCCGGTGTTTCTCGCACTTTGACATCGGTAAACTTCCAGAAGAAGCTGAATCTATTGTGATCTCAGTGTCATCGACAAAGTTTCAACAAGACTCTAAAAAGCTCCTACCTCAAAAAATGAGATGATTGTGTAAAATATTGGATGTAAATAGTTTTCATAATATTATATTCATAGTGCATGGCACAAGAGCGAGAAGCATCGATCTGTGTAGTTCAATTTGTAGATAAGAACCACAATTGAAAACGACATCATGATAGATTTATAAGATTTGAAAGCAATCGTAGGTCAGGTCTTTGAGCTTGGGTGAGAAGGCAAACAAAGCTTGACAGAGATATTCAATGTCCATATTTTGAAGGACATACAAGAAACCATGTGATGATGAATTGTAACTAGAGGGTGTGGGTAAGAATAAATCCATACCCACATCCTTTTATGCCTCCATATCTTACAATTCAGGACATTTTCAGGAATCAAGCTGTAAAACAGAGTTTTTATGCGAGCAAATTTTTTATCAATATATTTCAAGTTGTACAGAGCTTAGATTGCTTTCATTTGAAAGGGAACTCCTTCCCTAGTGAATGTACCGAGTTAAGAGTATTCATGTACTGAGAAAGCCTCAGCAAGGTACCCGATATGGGTACTTCGAAAAATCTCAGTAGTTGTACTGATGTAGGTACTGCATTGGGTACCCATAGCAGTATATTTACTGAACAAGTACTTGTGTGGATAACCGCACCTGTAATTTTACTGAGGAAAGCTCTACAAGGTATTCTAGATTTGTCGCATTCTGTGTAGCAACTGTTCATTCATTGTTTTCTTTTGCACACACGGCTTCATATAAACAACTCGACAAAACATAAGAAATTAATATTTTTTCATACCAGAGAATCCTTTTAGGCTTTTTACCTACACAAGATTCTCTATCTAATGATATGTAAACGAACGAAACCGGAGCGAGACATTTGATTTTAAGTGACAGATCTGATCAATCGAGGATTCAGTTTGACACTTGTATGGTGATAAAATTGATGAATCACTCATGCCAGTATACCAGTCTGGTCTGATCGAATAGACAACACCCAAGGAAAGGAACAGCTGACTTTGATGACTTCATTGACTTTCACAGAATTGAACTGGTGGATTAGTTCTCATGAACTAATCTGGTAGGCTC